CGCGTTGCTGGGACCACATCTACTTCGACCCGATTTGGATCGCCTAGAACGACGGAGATCGGAAACCACACCCCAGCGTGACCACGCCCTGTGTAGTCGCCGAAGTGAGAAGGAGACTCAGCACCACCGCCGCCCTAGCGGGCGAGGACCTCAACAGAGATTATGCCCTCGAGAGCAGATGCGTACACCAAGAAGAAAGACAGACGGAGAGCGAGAGGGCGCGGAAGGCAACGAGGGAGGAAGAGCGGAGAAAACAGAATAAACGCCAAATTACAACACAAGGCTCCAATGCCAGGCCAGACACAGGAATAAGAACAAAAAGGTGGGCAGCACAGAAATAGAAGGCAAACTGGTCGTGAAATGAATGGCCGACGGCCGAGACCACGCGAAACGGCTACCCCTCCAGGTAGGCGACCGCACGGGCAGCTAAGCCGGTCAGGAATGGGTCGAGACCGTTGAGGGTCGACCTGAGGATCGCAGGGTCCCTGTCCCGCCCACTCACACCCAGCGCAGCGACCCACGACCACGCCGACGACCACGGCGGCGACGACGACGATGACCACCACGACCGCGACGACGACGATGACGACGACCACGGCGACGACGACGACCATGACGACGGCGACGACGACGACGACCATGGCGACCACCGACGATGACGACGACGACGACGACGCCGACGCCGACGACGACGACGACGCCGACGACGACGACGACGACGAGCACGACTACGACGACCACGACGACCACGACGACCACGATGACGACCACGACGACCACGACGACCACGACGACCACGACGACCACGACGACCACGACGACCACGACGACGACGACGACGACGACGACGACGAGGACGACGACGACAACCACGCTGACGACGACGGTCATGACGACGGCATCGACGGCGGCGCTGCCGCCAGCGCGCGCCGGCCGGCTGCACGGTGCGAGCCCCCGAGGCGCCGGCGCGCCGCAGAGCGCGGGGTCCGGCGGGGGCCCCTGCAGCCTCGGGGGGGGTCCCGGGTCTCGAGGGGGGAGCCTCGAGGTGGGAGGCTGAGGAAAGGGGGACTTCCACTCAAAGGTTTCGAGACGTTGAAACCCGATGGGGAAAAGGCACCCGTGGTCGTCCGGATTCTCTACGAATGTTGGCTCGTGGACGTGCCTTCGATTATGGCCCACCCTACCTCGCAGCGGCATGATTGTCGCGCCCCCTCGTGCTGGGCGCTGCCCGATATTAGCGCCTCCTTGGGGATGGGAGCGTGGAAATCCACGCGGTGAACGCGTGCACGCTGGGAGAGCCAGGAAGACATGCCTGGTCGATCCTGGCCGTGAGGTGCAAGACGATGGGGTGCCCAGTGAAGGAGCACCATTCCCGATTCCACTGCAACCACGCGAAGGGACACCTAGGCATCCCTCTGGAGTCGTCGGGCCAGGGGTCGAGTAATTTGGGGCCTGAGGAGGGGCGACTCCGAGCCCTTTTCGACTTCACCGCGAAGGCGTCAATTAATGACCGATGGACTGCTCAGCTTCTCTAGATCGCCCTTGGTGACCCAGCGGAGCTCGGCCCCGATGTCGAGCATGTTTTCCCCTTCTGACGCATACTTGCTGGGGCGTTGACAGTGCGTGCCTGGGGCCGCCGTCGTTGGCTCGTGGGTTTGTGTCGTCGCGGCTGGGCCTGGCTCGTTGGGGCGAAGGCCTTGGGAGTCGGGGTGTCGTGTGTGTTGGCTTCGCATGTCGGTCGCGCCGGTCTTGTCTTTTATTCCATCTTTTCTCTGCGCATGGGCTGTATGTTTTCTCTGCCCCTGCTTGGTTGGATCGAACGATCAATATATAAATAAAGACGACGGAGGAGTCGGAGGAGGACGAGGACGAAACCAAGGAGAAGGAGGAGCAGATGACTTTGGAGTGATGGCGCCCGGCGAAGCCGCGGCCCGCGCGCCTGCACCCACGCGAGGCCGGCCTCGATAGCGCGGAGCCTGCGGCAGGTCCGCGTCGTGACGACCCCAGCGTTGGTTCCTGAGGAGGAGGAGGAGGAGGAGGAGGAGGAGGAGGAGGAGGGGGAGGAGGAGGAGGAGGAGGAGGAGGAGGAGGAGGAGGAGGAGGAGGGGGAGGAGGAGGAGGAGGGAGGAGGAGGAGGAGCCACCCTAAGCGATCGAGGCTTCCCGATAGCGTCCATTGTTCGATGCTGACCGACTCTGGGCCACCGACGGCGTTCAAGCTTGAACGTCACGCGCTGGGGCCGCCGCCGCGTCGCCACGGCACAGTTGCACGTCGAGCACGCGTCGAGCCCACGTTGGGCACCGGAAAAGACCGCCATCTCCAGAACAGGTAAGATCCCCCGACGCCTCCCGAAGCTCCCTCCCCCCCCCAAAAAAAACGCGACGTACGAGTTTCCATGATTCCAGCGTCCAGAGGGTGTGTTCGGGGCCCGCCACAAGCCGCCCGCGACGAAAGCTTGCCAGGGATGGGGCCGAAAAAACACGGGGGCCCACGTCGGAGGTCTGGGACGACCGCCTGTCGATGAGAGGAGGGCGAGGAAAACGGCGGCGCAGAGGCCACACATGCTAACCTACACAAGTTAAGCTACACAAGCTAAGCTACGCAGCTACGCAGGCAACGTCACGCTGGCTGGGCTACACAGGCTAAGCCACGCAGACTGGGCTGTTCAAGCTACGCTGCACAAGCTGGTTTAACGGACTTCGTCTTCTTTCTGTTGCCAAGCCCCCTCCTCCCCCTGTTCGGGGGAAGGGTTTCGCACTGTTCTTCAATTAATAAACACCTCCTCCCCCACCCGACTGGGCCAACCCAGGACATGCCACCCCCCCGCCCCCACCATCCGTATGAAAAAAACAATACAGAATGCACTTCGCCAAATCTCGAGCAAGCGCGGGCGCCGCGCGACCATTCTGCATTGATGTTTCAAAGGGACGGCGGGGGCGTCAGCAAGCTGCTCGTTGCGCACAGGCTGCGCGCAAGCCGACCGTCCCTGTCAACAAAAACAATACATAATGCACTTTGCCTCCAAAGCTGGAGCATGCGCGGTCGCGCGCAAGTTGCGCGCAAGCCAACAATCCCTGCCAAAACAAACACTACATAATACACTCTGCCGCCAAATCTGGAGCATGCGCGGGCGCCGCGCGACCATTCTGAATTGGTGTTTGGCAAGGATGGCGAGGGTGCCGGCATTTTGCCTGATGCGCGCGAGCCGACCATCCCTGTCAACAAACAATACAGAATACACATTGTCTCCACCTCTGGAGCACGCGCGGGTGCCCCCATCCACTACTCTCATTGGTTTTGACAACGGGGGGGGCGGCATATTGCACAACGCGCGGGGAGAAGGGCCTCACGGCCCTTCCGTTTCCCAATCCCTTTCCCATTGTTGGTCGGCCCGCCGTAGTTCAGAGGAGCGCCTCACGGCCCCGCTGCGCAGACCACGCGGGGTCCCATTTCGCCATGTCTGCATGGTCCCACCGCTCAGGGATAGAAGGGCCATCATCAGAACAGCACTCGTCGTTGCCAGGCTCGTCGTCCTCCAGATTGTGCGTGTCAACGGCATCCCAGCCCACGTCGTCCCACGGCGTCGCCTGTGCACCTGAGCCTGTGGCGCACATGGCATGCGTGGCGTTCCTCGGCGACGTGCTGAGGCTCGGGTGTTACTTCTGGGTTGGGAGGGCGGGTGGGAGTGAGAGAGAGACGGCCTGCGGTCTTCGGGGGGCCTCGACCCCTCCCCCTCCCCCCTCCCCTGGGCCTGGGAGGAGGCGGCGCCGCGGGTGGTTGGGGCGCCCACGGTGGCCCAGGATGGCTCCAAGAGGGCCTCGGAGAGCCCACGATGGCCTCCAAGATAGCTCAAGATGCCTCAGGATGGTTGAGGAAAGCCTCCGACACACATCCAAGAGGCCCGAAGAAGGCCCCACGACGGTTTCGAGTGCCCCCCGAGCCCTCCAAGGACACCAAGAGGCCACAATCCTTCAAAAACCCATGACAAATCAATGCTGTGTGCCTTCTCGCCTTTTCGCTTCCGATGGGCTCTTGGGGCATCAAGACAGTCCCAAGAGGGCCCCAAGAGATCCCCAAGAGGGGCCCCAAAGGGCACCAAGAGGGCACCAAGAGGGCTCCAAGAGCGCCCCAACAGAGCCCCAGGGCGCCCTGTTTTGAGCCCTCGACGGGGGGCTGAATGTGTGTCCCTCCCCTGGTTTGAGCCATGGGGCCCAGGAGGCCTTCCAGACCCCTCCAAGGAGCCCCAAGAGGCCCCAAGACCCCCAACATGAGCCCCAAGAGAGCCCCGAGAGTGCCCCAAGAGGCCCTAAGATGGCCTTCGTCGTTTTTCAAGCACCTCTCACAACAACATACCTCCAAAGCCCGACTTCCCATCGTCCTTGTTATCGTCCGTTCCTTCCCTCATCCTTTCCTGCCTCCTCCATCCTCTTCCGCCTCTGACTCCTCCTCCTCTTCCTCCACCTCCTCTTCATCCTCCTCCTTCTCCTCCTCATTATCATCCTCCTCCTCCTGCTCCTCGTGCCGCATGCCCTCCGCCTCCTCCTCCTCCTCCTCCTCCTTTTCCCTCTTCTCCTCCTTCTCTCTGTTTCCTCATCCTCCTCCTCGTCCTCCTCCTCCTTCTCCTCTTCCTCCTCCTACCCCCAAGATAGTTCCAGGATGTCGAGCATGGCTCCAGATAGCCTCCAAAAGATCTCCAAGATGCCTCGAGACAGCCACAAGACGGTCCAAGATATCTGAGCATGATTCAGGATAGCCTCCGACAGCTTCTAGCCGAACATGGCTCAAGATAGCCTCGAAGAGGCCTCAAGAAAGACTCCGATCGTGTCTGGATGGGCTGGTGGGGATACGCGAAGCGTCAAGAATGAGTCTACAATTGCTCGGCTACACTAGCCAGACCACGCAGGCTAGACCACACAGGCTAAGCTACACAGGCTAGGCCACAGAGGCTAGGCCACACAGGCTAGGCTACTCACGCTAGGCCACAGCGCACCGACGGGGGCTCAGGGCTTCTCCACCCGAATGTAGCGCGCACCCCCCTCCCCGCAGCTGTGGTGCCTCAGCCCGAGCTCGTCCGACAGCTCGTGCACGAGCCTCCGCTGGAACGCGCTCAGGCTCGGGGGGAAATTCGGAGGAAGGCCAGCTGGGACGAGGGCGGCCCTCCCGTTGGGCCCATATCCGTTCGAAACCATCCATTCTGCACCCAATGGCTCAAATACACTCAAAATCCGCCCAACTGGTTCAAATCAGCTCAAGATCTGGCAAAAAGCCTGACACCTCCCGAGCCCATCCTGACCCGATTTCCGAAGCGGATACAGCCGAGGCAACGAGAAGCCTCCAGGAGGAACAAAAAAGACCAGGGAAGGCCGTCGTCTTTGACATCCTCCGATCTGACGTTTTCAATCCGCAGCCCCAGAGCTCCCGGCCCCTTCCCTGGAGGTAGTTGCGCCCACGATTTGTTTCTCTGGTCCCCTGGCCCGATCGTGGGCCCCAAAGGTCGATGTCCAAGACATAAAGATTGAACAAAAACAGGTCGGAGATACGACGTTGTCTTGACTGAACCTCCTCCGAGAAGTCCAGCGACCCTGCGCTGGGCCCGTCGGACACGCCCGCGAGCTGGGCCCGGAGCTCCTGGCGCATGCCCTCGTCCTCTGAGGAGCAACGTCAGAGGGGGGGACCAGCTTGGAGGGGGGGAGGGGACATCAAGCTGGAAGCGGCGACAGATCACCGATATTTATATATAAATATAGAGAGAGAGAGAGAGGAAGATACTAGAACCATCGCGCGCGCTCCGCGCGCGCTCAAGTTCCAGCTAGGCTGAATAGGCTAACTCATGTAATATCATGTTGGTCGCTTCTTGCGTCCAAGGACTCCCTTGGAGGCCCTGCGCAAACCTCGGAATCGTATACAAGGGGAAATGCGGAATTGCAGGAATCATTAATTCCCTTTAGGTAGTCAACGATTTGGGGCCCTCAAAGGCTTCCTGGGTTCTTTTTTGGGAGGTGAGGGGGTCTGAATTGTGGTCTGTTGTGCAAGAGTAGACTGGGGGCCAAACTTGGAGAACAAAAATCAGGAATTGTGGGATTTCCTTGTTTCTCGAGTTCCTCGGCGCTGATGTTTGTGTGTGCCTCGCGGGTTTTGTGAGCCGGGCCCCTCAGGGGTGTGGGATCTTCCGGACCCCCTGGGGGTTCGGGAGGAGGAGGAGGAGGAGGAGGAGGAGGAGGAGGAGGAGGAGGAGGAGGAGGAGGAGGAGGAGGGGAGGATGGAGGAGGAGAGGGAGGAGGAGGAGATGGAGGAGGAGGAGATGGAGGAGGAGGAGGAGGAGGAGGAGGAGGAGGAGGAGGAGGAGGAGGAGGCCTCCCGGAGGCCTGGAGAGCCGTCGGAAGGGTGTCTCGGGGCTGGCTGGGGGCTCCTGGGGGTCGTCTTGGGCTGTCCTTCGGCGTCTTTGGGGTCTCCCCAGGAAGCCGGGAGGCGCGGTGCCTGCCAGATGTCAGGGGATGTGTAGGACCCCCGAGCAGGAGTCCCACTTTGAGAAGAAGAAAGAAGTTCTGGGAGTTCGTTTTTTTTTGTTGTCAAAATCCTCGATCTTCGAGGGTTGGAAGCGGGAAAACGTGAGAAGCCGAAAAACATTAGAAAAACCATTGGAAATCAACGAGTGTATCCTCTTTGGGCTCTCTCGGGACGGATCTCGCAGCTCTCTTGGGCTGTTTCTTGGAGCCTCGTCGGGGTCTTCTTGGAACCTCTCAGGGATCGGGGGTGCGTTTGGGGCCTCTGGGTGGTCCTGGAGGCCTCTCGGAAGTCTCTGGAAGCCTCCTGCTCCCGCTCTTGGGCCCATCTTGGGCCTGTTTTGGGGTGGTCTGGGGCTGTCCTGGGCGCCTCTTCGGCAGTCTTAGAACCTTCTTGGCCCGTCTTGGGGCCGTCCTGAGGGTCTCTTGGGTGGTCTTGGGGCGGTCTCGGGAGCCTCTTCGGCGCTCTTGGACCGTTGAAGTTCGAAAACGCGAGAAGCCAACACCATTGCAAAGAAACCAATGGAAATCGGCGATTTGGGCCTCTTCGGGCCGTCCCGGGACGCCTCTCGGACCTCTCTTGGGGTCTCTTGGAGGCCACCTGGGAGCCTCGAGAGCCGTCGGAAGGCTGACTTGGGCTACTTGGGAGCGTCTTGGGCCGTCCTTTCGCATTCTGGGGGCTCCTGGGAAGCGTCTTGGGCCCTCCTGGAGCGCTGTGGAGGCTCCCTGGAAAGGCCGGGGGAGCGGTACCGGGAGCGTTCCCGAGATGTGGCGGGGAGGTGTGGAACCCTGGGCCGGGGGGGGGCGGTAGTTATATATATATATATATATATATATATATATATACATACATACATACATACATACATACATACATACATACATACATACATACATACATACATATATATGTATGTGTGCATATGTGTGTATACATCTAAACACATACATGAATAGATATGTATAGATGTACATGTATGTATGTATGTATGTATGTATGTATGTATGTATGCATGTATGTATGTATGTATGTACGTACGGATGGATGGATGGATGGATGGATTGATGGATGGATGTATGGATGTATGTATGTATGTATGTATGAATGTAAGAATGTATGAATGTATGAATGTATGAATGCATGAATGTATGCATGTATGTATGTGTGTGTATGTATGTATGTGTGTGTATGTATGTATGTATGTATGTATGTATGTATGTATGTATGTATGTATGTAGGTATGGTTGCACGTATGTATGTATGTATGTATGTATGTAGGTATGGTTGCACGCATGCATGTATATATGTATGTATGTATGTATGTATGTCTGTCTGTCTGTCTGTCTGTCTGTCTGTCTGTCTGTCTGTCTGTCTGTCTGTCTGTATGTATGTATGTATGTATGTATGTATGTATGTATGTGGTATGTATGTATGTTATATATATATATATATATATATATATATATAATATTCCTCTTCCTATTTGTTTGTAAGCCTGGGCGGGGGGAAAACCCGTCCCCCCCCCCCCGAAAACCGGACCCCCGGGATCTGGAGCTTTGGGACCCTCCAGACGGGCCTCGAAGCGGCCCCCTGGGCCTCGCAGGGCGTTTTGCCAAGCCTTTGCAGCACACCCACTTCGATCAGGGGGTCACCGGAGCCGTCCCAGAGACCCCCAAGACAGCACAAGAGCGCTCCAAGAAGCCGTCATACCCCGAAAGATCGCTCCAAAACGTACCAAGAGGCCTCCAAGAGCACCCCCAAGAAGGCCTCAAGAGGGAAAAATCATTGATGCTATGTAGGTTTTTGGTGCATCTGGGGGTTTCCTCTTTTCGGCTTCCCGACGCTCCAAGACGGCGGTCTCCTAGGCGTCCGAAGCCGCCTGGGAGGCTCCAAAATCGCCCCACAACCGTCCGAAAGGGCTTCCAGGCAGTCCAAGAGAGCCCCAAAACGGCACAACAGGGATCCAACATGGCCCTAAGAGAGCTCCATGGCGGCCCAAGATGGCCCCAAGACACCCTCCGAAGCATTCCAAATCGTGACTGGGGCGTTCAGGAAGACCGCGGTTAGAGGCAGGTTGGCCTTAGGAAGCCCCAGAGGCCCCCAAACACACCCAGGAGGCCTCCAGAAGGCTTTAAGAAAGCCTGAGAACTTTGGTGAGGCCCCCAGAGGCTCTCCAAGGAGGAGCCTCCGCAAAAAGAGCTGCGGAGGATGGGGAGAATGCCCAGGGTATGGCGAGAATGACGAAACATAAGCATGGAGGAAGGATAACGAACAACAATATCATTACGGCGAAGCCAGAAAAGGCAGCAAAGAGTTATCGCTAAATTGTCGGCTTGACCTTCCTGCCATTTCCGCCTGCATACCAAACTTCAAGGACCAAGGTGCATGGCGCGGAGCGCCACTGCAGTCTTGCATATATGTGTTTACATATGTCGGCGATATACCTTCGACTTAGCTGCCCTGATACGCACCACGCGACATATAGCGTAATGGCACAGAGCTCCACACGTAGACTGAAGACGCAGGTCTGGCGCGATACAGTCACCAAAACGTGGACCGAGCCAACACGCAGCGTGTTAGCACGGACGTTTGAACACGCGGCATACCAGGGCAGCTAAGGCCAACGATAGAAAAGCCGCAAGCTCCTGCGCGGGGCTGGGCTATCAGGAGGCCCCTATCGGCGATGAATGGGCGATTGGGGGCCGATAATCCTTGGTGGTTTTCGGACCACAACTCGGGCCTCCGGGGGCCGTTCGGAAAGTTCCAGGCACCCACCGAACGCTCTCGGCGAGGCGCGGCTGCTGGAGAACGTTCCGATGCTGTAAAATAGCCGTGAACCCAGGAAAACGACCAAACACCTCGGGCCTCGATTCCGAACAAAAAGTCGCCCACCCCCCTTCCGTTGCCCCTGAGGTCCTCCGCCTCCCTGCCCTGCTGCTGCCGGCTGTACGCGGCCGCCGCCGCCGCGGTGGCGCCCGCCGGCAGCTCCAGCAGCGCGGCGACGGCGATGTGGTCGCTGGGCTCCGAGGCGTTGGGCAGGGGCCCGGCCACGTCGCCGCGCGGGGGCAGCCGCGGGGCACCGGCGACCTCCACGTGCGGGGAGCAGAAGATGTCCGCTACCGCGCTTGCAGCGGCTGGTGTGCGTCGGGCCCTCTGGCTCTCTGCGGAGCAACCACAAGGGCCCCCCGGCGCATCGAGCCCGAGATGCGCTCCTGCTTTGTCGCCGCATCCCTACGGTGTCTGTCTTACCAAGCAAAAATTGGCCCCGAATACAAAGCCTGTGGAATGGGGGGGTCCGCGGACTCTCCCCCCTGCCAAGGCGCCTCCCCCTCCCCTCCGCCCGCCCGAGCGCGATGCGGAATCGCGCGGCAGCGCGACTGGATAGTCCAGCGTGTCGATCGATCGGGGGGGCGTAGGTTAGGAGGCAACTGCTGGGAGCTCTCCGTTAGAACGATGAAGGCCGTTGAGCTGAATTGGCCCAACTTAAGCCCAGTACTATAAGCAAGATTAAGCCAAACCAATCCAGATTGAGCGGAACTAAGCGGGAGTAAGCCGGGATTCGACCACGGATCTACTAGCGCCGATGCTTAATGAAACCTCTCAGGAGTTGCAGCCAAGTCCAAACTGGGGCAAGAATGCGGCCACAACACCCTTTGGAGAACCAAAAGAACGGGCAAGTCGTGGGGCCTTCTCGTTCTCTTCTTCTCGTCGTGATGCGCACCGTTTTTTTTCCGCGGCACGCCCGTGATGCTTTTCTTTGTCTCCTCATTGGCAAGCACATATCGCTTCGGTCTGTATAACTGATTTTAACATGATCTCCGCCCACGCGACGTATGGCTTGTCGACTCGACTCGCTGATCAACGTGGTATGGTGGGGGCTCTATGAACCTCCGACCCCCTCTATTGAAGGCTACTCAAATGGGGTCCGACTATATGGGGCCGGAAGATCACGCCGCACCGCCGATGATTGGGCGGCGTCGGCGCGAAGGACCTCGGACTCCACATCGTGCCGCATCGCAGATGCATCGGCGATGCTGCGCGATCCTCCAGCCCCGCGCACTCGGGCCCCTGGAAGCCTAAGTGCGGGCGCGGCCGCAAGAACCCCTCGCAAGAAACTCAATCCTGAAAACCCACGCGCGGTGTGCATCCGGGGGGAAACCCAGAACACCCTGAACGCAGCAGCTTCTTCAACGGCTGCGGGAAGTCACCGCGCAGCGCGCGGAGGCCACCACTGCAGGTTTCACTGTAGATCTACGAGCCCCCGAGATGAAAGGCTCCTCCTCCCCCGCGGTCTGCGCGAAGTTGGTGAAGTCCGGCTCGGCGCCGTGCGCGGCGCAGTACGCGCTGCGCATGGGGAGCCGCAGGCGGGGCTGCCAGCGGTCGCCATCCGCCAGCACCGGGTACGCGGGGCAACCCCGGCCGATCGCGCCCGTCGTCACCTTGGAGCCCGATTTCGATGATTCGCAATCCAGCAGGAGCTCGATCACAAGAAACCTTCCACGAGAAACCCAACCCTGAGACCCCAGGACGTCCATTGATTTTTGGTGTGGGAGCGTCACACTTTCCAGAATGGCAACACCATCGAAACCCAAGAAACCCAGGGCACCCTGAAGGCAAGCAGGGTGTTTCTTGGCATGGGCTTCCACTGTATATAACGCCTGTGACTGGTCCCGCCACCCCCTCCCCTCCACCCGGTCACGCCCGTTATCGCCAGAGGACGAAAAACGGTTCCTCTCGTCACTCAGGGAGCGGATTCTCAGCAGGAGGACGCCAGTTATACACCTACACCGATCCTGGGCATGCCCATTCTGGGCCCAGGATCGAGGTGTACGGACTGCTGCCTTGAGCAGAAATCGAAAACACCGACCCTGGGCCCAGCATCGGCCTGGCCAGGATCGGTATAGGTGCGTATAGTTGGTGACCTCCGACTGAGAGCGACGGGACCTAGCCCCCAGGGAAAACCCGCTTCCCTCAGTGACCCCGTTTTCCCTCGCGGCGAATCACCATTTTGTACTGGTGGTCGCCCGGCTTGAAGTTCCAGTCGCCGGCCACCACGCAGGGGCTCCCGCTCTCGATCGCCAGCCTCTGAACCTGCTGAACCGCCAGCGCGGCGTGCAGGGTCATGACCTGTGGTTCCCGGAACGCGCAGGGCATGTGGTAGCAGCCGACCCAGACGCGCTGGCCCGCCTGCTCGCGGCTCTCCAGGTGCACGGCGATGAGGACGTTCTCCCGACCCTGCGCCCGCGCGGAGGGGAGCGCGAGCATCTCCTGAAACTGCCTGTGCAGCTGGTCCCCCCGCGGCCTTCGCACCAGGCCGAGGCACGGCCGAAGGCACCCCGGCAGCGCCTCCCGCAGCCCAGGCCAGGGCTTCGGGGCCCCGCACTTGTAGCAGGCGGTCTTGGACGCGAAGACATTGGCGCCGCACGCCGGGCACGCCCAGTCCCCGGGCCTGCGCTCCTGGGGGTGCGCGGGTGGCGACGGCCGAGGGGCACAGAGGCGAGTCACGGCGCGGCAGTCGCTGGCCCACTAGGGCTCCCAACTTCGCGCTTCGCGCTCCGCGAAGCGCGAAGCGCGAATAACTTCGCGCTCTCGCGCCGCCCTCCCAAAGGGAGAAGAGGAGGACGAGGAGGAGGGGGAGAAGGAACGAGGACCGCGAAGCGCGAAGCGCGAATAACTTCGCGCCCTCGAGGGAGCCCTTGGCTCCTGGGGGTGCGCGGGTGGAGACGGCCGAGGGGCACAGAGGCGAGCCACGGCGCGGCAGTCGCTGGCCCAAGGGGCTCGCAAGAAAACAGCCCCGTGGTGTGAGAGAAGCTCGGGCCGGGCGCACCTGTCAGGTCGGCTCCTGGCCGCTCGGGCGCCGCTTCCACGCGCACGAGGAGATGTCATGCAATGCTATGACATGTTATGATATGCTGTGCCACGGGACAGCGAATGGTAATGATCCGAATACTGCGAATGCGAATGGAAACGTGAATGCTAATGACGCTGCGACTGTGACAACGACTGGCAGTGTTAACAAAGAGGGCAGCGCTAATACTATACAATCATGGTGATGACAATCCCGCTGAACAAACTCTATGATACTGTGTTACGACATGCTGCCCTCGAGCTACGATGTGATATGAGTGTGCAGTGATGTGTCATGATGGTCGCAAAGCTGGTGTGGATGGTCATGACAGTGTGCGATAATAATTGTTTCACATGCTGTGCTGCGCCATGATGGGATATACCACTTAACCATCAGCTTGGGAAAGATGTGCTAGGTTGTGCATTGATGCGCCGTGGTTCCAAGTATCGTGTACTCGCTTAATGCTGACTTACACATGGTAGGTAGGTGCTGTTAGGTGTTGGTGTGTTGCTGATCTGAGACCCGATGCTGACGATACGCGGTACTGGGCTGTGTTACGCTGCGCCATGATGCAGGCATGCGGTAGAGTCACTAGATGTTGTTCGTTAATGATGCGAGCGCAGTGCTATGATGTGTTATAACGTGGCTTGTTGTGATGTGCCTGCCGTGCTATGCGATGCTGTGTTGTGTTATTGACTGGATCCCAAGAAGGAGGGTTGCGCTGCGCTGCCTTTCCGTACAGCCGGACCTAGTACATAAGGACATCCTTCGAGAACATGAGGTCCTCGCCGACCAACACACACAGAACATCCAAGGGTACCCTCCTCGGGAGGCACAAGAAAATCCACCAAACACGAAGAACATTAGGGCCCCCCCCCAAACCGACTTCGATCGTATATACCTCCCTCGGTCAGACTGTAACCGTCACTCTCGCTCCTGGGGCTTCTTTGCCTGGCTGGGCCAACTCTTCGTCTCCGACACGCGCCGGATGTCGGCATCCAGCAGCCGCCACTGGGGGTTCGGGAAGGCAATCCCCACCCCCATGTAGTCCGAGCACTGCTTGGCATACAGGCTGGTTACGAAGGAGTAGCCGCGCTGCTGGAAAAACGCGTGGAGCCTCCCACACCATTCCCTGCAAACCTCCTGCAGGCAGACGACTGCCGAGGCCGAGGTGTGAGCCTCCAGCTTGGCCAGCACGCGCTCAAGCCGCGCATGGCCCTCGAGGTCGCTCGGGTCACAGAAGACGAAGTAGTCTGCGGTCGCCAGCGGAGGGGACAGGACGTTGTAGGTGACCACCCGGAATGCGACCGCCATGGCCCGGCTGGCCTGTGGCTCGACTCTTCACCTCCCTCCGACCCGTCGGAGCTCCGAGGCTGCAGCACAGCCAGCTCCCAAGTCTGAGCCAAAATGGCTACGGGAAGGAGCGGGAGCAGGACACACGGAGCACGGGGAGTGCAGGAGGGAAGGTAGGCAGGGCAGGAGGAGGAGAGAACAGGGGAGGGGAGCAAAAGGAGGCGAGGGAGGGGGGAGGCGGAGACCAAGGCAGAGGAGGAGCAAGACGAAGAGGAGGAGGAGGAGGAGGAGGAGGAGGAGGAGCAGGAGGAGGAGGAGGAGGAGGAGGAGGAGGAAGAGTTGGAGGCGGTTTGGGCAGGAGTGGGAGAGGGAAGAGGAGACGAGAAGAAAGGTGAGCAGAAAGAGGGGGAAGAGGAGGAGGCTCCCCACCCCCCACCCCCCCAATCGACTCTCTGCCCACAGGGATCCCTCCTGAATCCATGCAATTCGGCGTGTGAGCCCGTTCGGCCGCCGAACGGGCGGCCGAACGGGCTCTATTCCAGCCGTGCGGCTGGAGCTCGACCCGCTCGGCGGCCGAACGGACCCGACCCCGCGCCCGCTCGATAGTGGGCTCAAACGCGCCGAATGGACTCCAAGGGGTCGCACGGGGGCCAAGTCAACCCGAGCCGGGGCACATCCACGCCGCCGTTCTGACGCTGCCGTTAGGCCCCCGGCTGCTGGAAGAGGGCCCCGACCCCCCCCCTAGGACCACGAAGATGGCAAGATGGCAGTGGGCCCCTGGCCTCGGCCGCACGCAAGTGACCCTATTAGCATGAGTGACCTACGGTGCGCGGCTTCAGGGGTCCGCGGGGTGACTGAGTCCCAAGCGCGCAGGCCAGTGTCGGGGGGACCTCCGTGGGCCCGCAGCGAAAGCCACTCTGGCGAAGGGTCACTCTCACGCGCAGCCGATGGCCGACTGCGCTAACGGCAAGCTCCGCAGCGCCGCCTCTGCCCTCGACGACTAGCAAAGCCTGCTTTGTCAAAGCGTCGTTTTTTGACTTGCCTTGGTGGGCGCTGTCCCAGTATAGTCATCGTTTTACAACGACGAAAGCCGAATAAGGACACGAATGGTTTTGTTCCGGCTCAAATTGCACCCTGTCTCGCAGAGAAGAAAGAATACATCGAAACGGCGACGACCCATCAACGCTCGGCCGCCGGCCACCGCCTCGCAGGGAACGCAATCTCTCCATGGCGAGATCAGAACAGGCGCGGGAGCGGGAGGGGGAGAGGGGCAGGTGCCGGCCACAAGGCCGTACTTCAGCTCAGTCGAGCGCCAGCGGGCAGATTTCTCCATGTCGCCACCGGCAGCGAGACCAGCGGGATCCCAGCCAACCGGGCCCTGCACTCTCATCGAGGGCGCGCAGCGGAATGCCCGCGGCGCGCCCAATCGCACCAAGCGCAGCTATTCGAGCCGTCCTGGTGGAAACTGCCGAAGGTCGCCATCATGGCCAAACGGCTTTTAACGATCTCGGCAACTTCTAATTCCCCTCAGCGTCACCGGGCGCCAGCACGCTGAAGCCGAAACCCAGGCCGCTCTCGAGCACGCGCAGCGGGGAGCCCGAGTGCCGCGCCCTGTCGTCACGCGCGGAGCCACCCAAGCAATCCTGGAATGGCATGCCGATGTCCACCGTCGTGGTCATACGACTGCCGGCAATCTCGGTCGCCAACTTCTTCAGCTTCTCATCGGCGTTGCTAGACGCCGGCGCGCTGAAGCCGAAGTCAACCGCCGCGGGGGGCGGCGGCGGCCCCAGCGACGCGCTATGCCCAGCGATCAGATAGCGCGTCGCTCCGCCTCGCGGCGCGGGTGGCCGGAAAGAGCTCGAGACGTTGGCGCGGACGCCACACGCGGAGCAGGTCAAGCCGTCATGGCTGAACATGCCGATGACCGCAGTCGTGCTCCGGCGACGGCGGCGATCAGGGCCGCCAACTCCCTCCGCTTCTCAGCAGCGCTGCTGGACGATATCTCCTGGAAGCCGAAGTCGTCCGCTGTGGCAACGTAGCCCGCGGACTGGACTTGGGGCAGCACGCCGAGTGCTAAGTATGCCACGATATCTGCGCCCAGTCCGCGGTGGGAACCTTAGGGGTAGGGCCGAGGTCGTTCGGCGTGCGCGCGAACTTGCAGTCGGCGGGCGGCGGCAGGTACCCTGGCGGCATGTCGGTGGTGTCTGAGGTGATGTACGCCATCGTCGCCAGCATAGACGTGCGGCCGTGATTATACTGGTTTGGTGCTTCATCTCATTCAGGCGCAAGCGGACGAAAATGTCCGTGCCACCATCCGCAATGAGACCAGCGGGATCCCAAAGGCCAACCGGGTCCAACACGGCCACCTCGCTCTCAAATGCGCGCAATGGAGAGCCCGCGTAGAGCGCCCAGTCGCCCCGCGCGGAGCCACTCAAGCCATCCCACAGGCCCGCGGGTGCCTGGCCGCCCCGGGAAGGGCCGCGAGAGCCGCCGGCGGCGGCGGCTGCGGCCGCGGCCGCGGCCGCGGCGGCCCCCAGCGCGGCCGCCTGGGCCACGGCCGCGGCAGCTCGGGCCGAGCAGCCAGCGGCGGCGGCGGCGGCGGCAGCGTCGGCGGCAGCCGCGGCGGCCGCCGCTTCGGCAGCGCCAGCGGCGGCGGCCCCGGCGGCAACCGCGGCAGGCAGCGCGGACGCAGCGCCTGCGGGGGTCGCACAAGCGGCCGCGGCGGCGGCCACAGCGCCGGCGCGGCTCCAGCCGGCGAGGCCGGCGGCAAGCCAGGCGGCGGCGCCGCGGTGCCCGCAGCGCCAACGGCGGCGCCAGCGGCCGGGGGAGCGCCCGCAGCGCCCGCAGCGCCCGCGGCGCACGCGGCCGCACGCGGCGGCCACCGGCGGCGAGCCGCGCGCACCGGCGGGGCAGCCGCGGCGCGGAGAGCGCCAGCGGCGCCAGCGGCGGCCGCGGCGCCAAGCGCGCCGGCGGCAGCAGAGCCAGCAGCCTGGGCGGCAGCAGCCCGGCGCTGCCGCCGCCTCCGCGCCGCAAGCCCTTCGCCGCGGGCAAGGGCGCCCGCCATAGCACCAGGAGGGGGGGGCCAGGACGAGGCAACCCTTCCGGCCCCCTTCCCGGCCGGGCCACGCCAGAGGTCGACGCCGGAGGTCGGAGCCGACCTCCGGCCCCGCGGCAACGGGCGCTGCGGCTCCCCTCGAGCCAGAGCCGCTTGAGCCTGAGGGCTCCTGACACACACACAGACACACACACACACATTTGTTTTGAAAGCCGGCGGCGCAGAGGCTCTTCAGGCGCGAGCAGCAGATGGACGTGCTAATTGCGATCGAACGTTGTCGAAGGCACAGTGTACAATACGTGCACACCGTCAATGTAACGATGGGTGGTGCGAAGGTGGAGCACACACGCACACACACACACACACGGATGGACACCAGAGAAACCTCAACAACAATTATGGTATCCGCAACGCCCCCGGAAGGGCGACCACACAGCAACTCAGAAGAGAACCCCAAGCCCACCAGCGGCGGGCCCGCTGCAGAGCGCCCGCCAGCAGCCGCCACGTGATCCACCGACGACGACGACGATGATGAAGATGATGATGATGATGATGATGATGATGATGATGATGATGATGATGATGATGATGATGATGTGATGATGATGATGATGATGATGATGATGACGATGATGATGCTGATGAGGATGACGCTGACGATGACGACGACGACGACGACGACGACGGCGACGGCGACGACGACGACGACGACGACGGCGACGGTGACGGGGACGGCGACGCGGCGGCGGCTGAGGCGAAGAAAACGGCGACGGCGACGGCGACGGCGACGGCGGCGGCGGCGGCGGCGGCAACGGCAGCGGTGGCGGCGGCGGCGGTGGCGACAGGGTGGGCCCGCTACACAGAGCCCGCCAGCCGCAGCGGCTGGGCCCAGCGGCGCCCTCGGCGGCGGCGCCGCCGCAGCCTCGGCTCGCAGTGCGGGTCGGTCGCGCAGAGGCCGCCGACGACGCCGCCGCCGACACAGAAGTTGATGCCGCGATGCCGCCGACGACGCTGACGACGATGCCGCCGACGACGCCAACGCCGAAAATGCCGCCGACGACGACGGCGACGCTGACGCCGCCGACGGCGCCCACGACGCCAACGTCGACGGCGACGACGACGACGACGCCGCCGACGCCGACGCCGACGCCGACGCCGACGCCGACGCCTACCGCGACAACGACGACGACGCGGGGTCTTCGTTTTGCAAGCCCATGGGCCCCACCTGGCGCCAAGGTCGCAGGCTGGACCGCGCGCGTCGTGGCATCACGCCACATCAGCTTCGCGGCGCCCGTGGAGGCCCTAAGGATAAGGAGTCCGCGCCAAGCAGGGTGGCCACCACGACGGGGGCCCGCCCAGCTGGCGGGCTCGAAGCGGGCCGCGCCCGAGGGCCATGCCTGTAAGTTCCCCCCCTCCTCTTGGTCGACCCCCCTACTCTCTATCTTCATCCGTCCTCCCCCATCCTCCGCCTGCTGCTCCTCCGCATCCTCCTCCTCCTAACCCTCTCTGCCTCCTGCCAACGTTTCACAATCGTGTTCATCATCGCCCTAATCGGCGACCATGTTCGTCAACACCAGCCACACCATGACCACCATTATCACCAACATCACCATCATCAGGTTCGTTGCCAGCACTGTCACCACCATCGCGTTTTCAAGCAGCGCGTCACGTGCGATCGGTCTTAACAATGACCACAACGGCTCGGCCGCCCGTCACTTGCTCGCTGTACAACTCCGCTGCGAACCGCGGGTCCTGACCCAAGCCAGAGTGGGAATAAGTGAAAATGACAGCGGAGAAGGGGGAAAGGAAGGGGAACCAGCGTGATCACGCGGAGGGGTCTGGCCTCCAGCCAGCCAACCACCATCGTCACCAACGCCTTCTTGTTGATCGCACCTGCTTTCCTACTCCTCTGCATACTCCTCCCCACACTCGTCATGTCCTCTCCTTTCCTGACCCCCCTCCCTCC